ACCGCTCTCCCTGGAGTGTTGCAGCGCTCAGGAAAACACAATTCTGTTGGAGGGACTAAGTTTTTGATGTAGACTGGCCTCATGCTTGTACCATTGAGAGTGTTGTAAGCTTCCTCCAGAGACCTCGAGACGAATCCGCTATGTATGAATCGAGATACATGCGATTAACCGCGTCAAGTAATGAGATGTGAGACAGCAAGGAGGAGGAGGAGGCAGTCCCCCGAAAATGGGAAAGAACTGTGAATGGAGAAATCAAATTTGCTCTTTATTTTTTCAAGGGAATTGTTCTTCTAAACTACATTGTCTACATGTTTTTGCTTTAAAAATGTTTAGACTGTGCCCTTAGATGTCTGGATTTTCTGCATAAGCTCAGTTGGTACGTTCCATTAGACATAAATGTGAATTTTTTAGGGGAAAACAGCATTTTGTACAGAACCTATTGTTGATGGCAAATTAACAAATTCAGAAAGCTTTCTTTTAAACTAAGTGTCACAATAACAGATTTGGGTGTCTCCTGATCCACTAGCTATCTTTACATTGGGTTCGCAAACACGTTAATTAATACAACATAATTACAAACTGTATTTTAATCTTGTTATTTCTGGGCAAAAAGAAGCGCAAAAATGTGATGCAGTGATAAGAAACAGTATGAAAACAATAACACACTCAGGATAAAAAGTTGTATCAGTTATAGAAAATCCCTCATTGACACTACCAAACAGTGGCTGAGTGAGTTTCTTACAAGTCACAGAAGAAGGCTTAAACCAGTCTATAACGGTAGATTTAAGAGCATCCTTATACAAAAATGTGTGGAAAGCAAAACTATGAGATTTCCTTACCAAGGAAGTTTCTTGCAACCTTACAGACTACTGCACTTTATTTTTTCCTGATTTTTATTTGTATCTGTACATCTTGTTTTTATAAGAAAGCAGAGATGGCTCAAGATACAATTCTGTTTTTAAAAAGAGACTTTTCAGTAACCAAGTCATAACAAGTAGCATTTTGCATACTTAGGCATTTCTTTAAGTAGGTAGAATATAAATGAGAAGGAAAGTTAAATATCCTGCAATCAAAACATTACAGTTATGCTAAAGTGGGGATTTTTTTCTTTTTTTAATTACAGAAAGCACTCCAAAGACTTCTGCCAGTTGTAGTCCTGCTCCTGAATCTCCTATGAGTTCCAGTGAATCAGTGAAAAGCCTGACTGAATTGGTACAGCAACCCTGTCCCGCTATAGAGACAAGTAAGGATGGCAAATCCCAAGAATCTAGTGAGCCGCCGGCTTCTGAATCCCAATCTACAACACCTTTGCCACTGTCGGGCCACTCGGCACTCAGCATTCAAGAACTGGTTGCCATGTCGCCTGAGCTGGATACGTATGGCATTACAAAAAGGGTCAAAGAAGTGCTAACGGACAACAATCTTGGTAAATTGCTTTATTCTCATTTCTTGACTGAAATAAAATAAAAGTGTTCATACTTTTATTTTTAAGCTAAATTTCAGTAGACTTTACAAGAACACTTGGTTTTGTTTCTGGCCTAAGCTTTCATCTGTTAAAAAAGTTTTGGGTTTTGTTTGGGTTTTTTTTTTTAAGCCAGTAGAAAAATCCTTTCAGACTGTCACACTCTACTTAAAACGTCATTCATACCCTTGCTCTTCTTAAGCTCTGCTCCTGGCTCACCAGCCAGATACTGCTCCCACCTCCCTAAATACAGTCCAGCAGGCTGTCACGAAGACCAAAACCCCAAAGCCAGTGAGATCTCCCCTTGAGAAATGCTGTTTTCCCCATGCTTATAGATTCAAGGCCCCAGCATTTTAGGCATAGCTGAAGTACGGGAGTCCAGCATGGCTGGAGAGGGAGGTGCATCGCAAGCCTAGCGTACCTGTAGGGCTAGGAGAGTAAATGCAGACTCAGTTGAGGTTTAGATGAACCTGTAGATAAGTGCATGGGGCCATTCAGTTATTTTACTCAGAGATGTGCAAAGCTAAGGCTGCTTTTGCTTACAGATGAGTTTTTGGGTGTGGAATTCAGTGTAATGTTGACATGGCTATATATTTGGAATAGTCAAAGGGAATAACCTGATCTGAGTATGGGAAATCCATGCTTAATACTGCCACTATGCCTCTAAATCACTAGTTCTTCCCATGTGTTTGACACTTGCTTCCCTCCCAAGGCATTGGGAAACCTTTAGGAGTCCTTTGAAGTCTCTAGCGGGAAGGCAGTAAGGCTGCCCCAGTGTTACCTGCACGTGCTTCTGGGGCTTAGCATGGGATTCATCTCACCTGCATTTAGATGTTCAAAATGGATGTCTGAGATGGTTGGGATGAATCAAGCTCCAGAAGTAGCAGTTTCTCTCCATTCCCTACATATGGGACCAAAAAGTTAAGATTTAGACTGCTGATGATACTTAAGTGAGAAGGATTCCATCCATACTGTCTGAACATTATAACCGTATAAGTAAAAACTCCTTTATTTTAGTATATAAGGAAGCCTTTTTTCAACTAGACACAGAATAACATGTTATTATCTCAGATTTTTTTTTTTTTTAAAGGGGAAAAATACTGGGATGGGGGAGGTTGCAGGTTCTCGTTTAACATAATTTGGGAAAAAAAGAAAATGGCCCTGATCATGGACATACCCTGCCTGAGATTGTGTTCCACTGAACCCAGCAGAATTACTTGCTCGTGCACATTGGCATGGGTAGGTTGTGGTTGCTTGTTCAGTGGAGACAATGTAGAGATAAAGCCACAAGTCACGGTAAGGGTTTGCAGGTTCAAGCCCCTAGTTTTTGGGCAAAATACTGTTGAGTGCTGTACCTGCTCTGGTGTTCCAGAGAGGTTTGAAAAAGTATTTTTGTTTACATTTGCTTTGATGCCATTTTTACTTAGTCTTTTTTATTTCCCATGATTTCTGTTTTCCTACAGTGTGGCTGACAAGCCTAAAAAGCAGCAGAAGAGCCAGGAAATGTGCCCCAAACTCTGCATTAGGTGTGGAACCAGTTTCAATGTCTCCTTTTGCGCCCTCAGTGTGCTAGTGCACCAGACTGACTCGGTGCACGAGTTTCTCTGTCTTAGGCAGAAGAGACCACGGTTGTGCGAAACCATTCAAGACGCGTTTGGCGGGTCGCTCCTCCCATGCCTTTTAGCTTTCGTTCAACAGTCACCATTTTGGCAAACGGTGCTGGCAGCGTTAACGCTGAGCTGTTGCTGATAGTCCTAGTCCCAAATGTCATAGTATTATCAGCGATTCCCTGCTGGGCAACATATAACTTAGATACAGAGAGAAGCAAATGCAGTGAGCTGTTGAAGGATTGCGATGGTGGGGATTTTGCAGAAAGGGCCAGGGCTAACCATGAAACCAGCATGATTTACAGAAAGCGTTGTCCATGAAGAGCTACATCAGTGGGAACAGGCGTGAAGGATATTAGGGAAAAAGGTAGAGAGAATTAGCAGGAGTTTTAGGAAACCTGTGCTTAAAAATATTCCAGTTATTAATAGTGCTCTGGTGAAGATGGAGTATGATACACCTGCTGCCTCCTGAGAATGATTTCCAACACATTCCTCGTTAGTTTGGGAATCTTTCAGGTGTTTTATCCTGTCCTGACATACACTGGGATAAAATAAATGACACGAACGACTTTAGCTTTGTCCTTAACACTTAAAGAACATGACGTTACCTCCTTCCACGTTTGCATTTTTAATTTTTGGGCTGTAGTTTGAAGTTCATTTCCTTTGGCAGCATTACTAGTCCCTGCTCTGGGCTGCTTGTTTCTGACCTTTTTGCTAATTTGTGTCAGTTTTCCTTTTCACGTGGCCACACGATAAACCAGACCAGTTGGTCTGAGTCAAAAGTGCCCACTTTATTCTTGGTAGGTTGGTTTAATTCCCACTTCCCGTGCAGCCG